TCGACTCTAACGTTATATGAATCTTGTGTTGTGATTTGGATTAGTCAGTACAGGGGTTCACGTACTTTTGGTTATCCCTCCGAATCGACTTATTGCTCAAGGTGACATTTAAGTGGTGCGTTGGACGTGGTTCTATAGTCACCTTTGTCACTGAAGCGGATTGCCAGGCATAATTTGATCAACTCGAACGGGAGCAGGGTGGCGCAGTGGCAACACACACGCCTTCGAGATAGAAGGGCTCCTGGTGTGGCGGAGGATTTACACCACTGGTGAGCTCTAACAAGAGCGAAACTCGAGTATGGTGCTTACGAGTGCAGTTTGGTCGGATGATCTGAGACTTGCGCGTGAAACGTGGAGTCCAAAGGACAGTCAATCAAACAATTGAAGTTTTTTTAACACAGACGTAATTTCCAATGATTTTCTTTTAATAACAGATGGTATATTAGGGCTGATATTTTTATGGCCGTTTCACTAGTCGGAAGATTCTGAGCTGCGGTGTCATCCATAGAATAATCTTTGGCGAGCTCGGTGGTATTTGAATCAACCAGTTCATTCCAAATCAACCACATTTGAATTCACTTTTGCATGTACGTAATAAGCACTTATCACGATAGTGTGTTACCAGTCTCCAACGAAATAGACAATGACAGTTAATTTCCCTACAGCTTGTTATTTGCACCGTGAAACTTTGATGGTCTAATGGTTTGTTCTTTGGTCGCTCATGATGACGTGGTTTTTCGATGGAATGCAATCGATTCGCAATTGATAGCCGTAAATTGAACCATGTCATGCATTCCACGGATGTCTCTGGAATTCCTTTACTCGGTGTCCTACAGTTTTGGAAAGGAAGCATGATTTTCCACCCTACAATAATTGACACCTGATTGACAGAACTATGAACGAGTTTGTCAGTCTCATCTTGTTCAGTTATGATATTTCATCATCTGGCTTCTTAGCTAAAGAAATAGAATTACGGGACATCAGTGTTGACTGCGCAGGATGGCTCAGAATCCATCCAGGCACACTTTCACCTCAATCTAAGTATACTCTCATGGAAACAGGTGAATCCGTGCGTCTGATTAGACAGACATGTACAGAGAAAGACAGTTGATGATTATGTAAGTTGAAAACCGGGGATCAGTGGTAATTTAACACAACAAGGTGGAAGGATAAATACATAAACTAATTGAACTTTGAGATATCCGATGTCACAACGGGTAAGAAAGGTTATGTAAGCGAGGTAAACAGCAAGGATGTAGGGTTCACTGATGAGCGACACGATCAGATAAGGTCAACATATGGGCCGACCACAGGTGGGGGTTAGAGAAATGGGTGACTTGGAAACAAGGTCTAGTAAACATGTCACACACAGTGTGTGAACGAGTAAACTCGTACTGACGTAGATTACATCGATTAGTCGTTTAGCCGACTGTCTAGCGGAAGCTACCTTTTACGCTGAACGAATATTTATCAGTATATATATATATATATAAATATATATATATATATATATATATATATATATATATATATATATATATATATACATCGATTAGGCCCGTCACAAAGACGACGTTAAAAAAGGTGTGTGACAGTGGGTGGGGATGACAACAGCTAAGCAACTGAACGAGATTTGGTTCAGTGTGATAAACTGGCAACTGGATGCACCAGTTTAAACCAAATTTCATCAATTTTCTCACCTAGTGTTTCAATACCTGGTTTTCACAGAAAGTTAAGGTATCTATGATCCAATTCACGTTAATGAGGATTATCCGTTCATCTAGAAATTCCAGTTCAGTTTTTCTTATAGTGCACGAAATGCTTGTAGTGCAGCCCAGTTTTCATGCTATTTATCGCAAAAGTATACATGTGGAATCGTTAAATTTGGTGTGCCTATGTCTTGACCCATCTTTATATTAGCACCGTATACGGATTTGTATTTGACCAACGAAAAACGATTTTATCTCGAATACTGTGCGTGAAGGGTGCGATATGCTTCTACCTCATCCCACGACCAACGTGATAAAGTGCATCCGGTAGATAATTTATTAGGCGGAATGAGTCACAAGTGCATAGCCGTTGTCATGGGCGATGATCGTTGATTAGTTATTGAGCAGAGATCATGCTATGAAAGTTTTGGTGACGGAGCACACCAAGTTCATTAAACTAAAGTGCATAATTTACTCTTCATTCACGAAAAAAGAATGCCAAATGGACGACGCCTGTCTGAGTTAGAACAGGGAAAAATACTTGCCCACGAGACTCATTAATTAACATAAGGAAGATTGCCAAAATAGTTCACAGATCAAGGAAAGCTTCGTGGTGCATTTTGAACGATCCAAGATGCCCCATACATCTAAACAGAAAAGTGGAGTCTGAAGAAAAATCCTCTGAAAAGGCCAAAATGTAGCTTCCATATGCTGAATCCAATCAAATAACCGGTACATTAGATTTACAGAAGTGTATGCAGTTTATTGTTAACGTTCGCGTGCGCACCAAACACAATAAACAGCAATATATCTACGGCATAGAAAAGTGAGAGCGATACTTTGGATGATTGAACGTATATAGATACTTTGCTTGGTTGACTGCCCTTTCAACTACACCTTTCACGCACAAACCACAGGTCATCCGACTCACCTTGCACTCAGAAACACCAGATTTGAGTTTCGCTCTTGTTAGAGTTCATCAGAGATGCATATCCTCCGCCACACCTGAGCCTGGCGCTTCTGAGTACATGGTTGGTCGGGTGACCTTAGGTTTTTAGGTGAAAGGTGGAGTCCAAAGGACAGTTAGACAACCGAAGAATATAAATATGTGCATTTGAGTAGACGGAGATTAGATTTGTATAATATGATCTATCATGCAGCTTCCATGGTGTTCAGTGGTGAGTGGTGGTGAGTGTTAGAATGTGTCTTTCGGCTGCAAACCTGTTCCGTGTTGAATGAATATCAGAACCCATCTGGTTATGCAAAGACGGGTTGAGAAAACGACCTAGATGACACAGGCACAGAAAACACACACAACTGATGACACGACGAGTGAGAGGTCTAGGCAATTGCTAGGCCCCGTAAGTAGCTACTTTTCGAATGACGTACACCAATTCGTATTTATTGCCGCCTTTTCAGTTTGAGATGATGAAAAGTATCCTTAGGGAATCTACATGAAATCTTAACACAGTGTGCAAATCTTTCCCCTTATGTTATGTTCAGATTGGTAGTAACAAGCAAGTCATACAAGAATGTAGATCAGTCAATACGTTTACCCTGAAGCATAACACTAGACATGTTTCATACAATGGTGTATGTTGATGTTAAATATCAAACAGTAAATACCTTCTAGCTAGGAGCAGCATGCAAATCGCGTAGCTGCAACAATAAATTCAACATTGCCCCTACACATTGATAATGTATGACACGTGAATGCAAGTTATGAAGGGAAGTGTATCAATCAGTAGGTTGTTCACTGGAGTACTAGACTGGACTACTTGCAGATAGTAATTTTTATGTGCACACGTGGAAGAGAAACAGATTGATAGAACTGTGGTACCTTGAGAGAGCATTAGCCGTTGGAACGATGATGCACATTTTTGACAGCAACAACGTGTGAGCTTTTCACCTGTGCTAGATGTGGTCAGAAAACGGCGTTTCGTTGGGTCGCAGATTGACCCCTTGAGTTTAAATGCAGCACTTCTTCCTCGACTCGACCGAAGTCAGCTCTATGAAGAAGAAGACAAGTACTCACAGGTTCACCATATCCGCGGGGTAAAAATTAGACTTTGTCGGGGCAAATATATACCTGTATTAAGTGAAATATCATAATTAGCAATAATTCGTAATATTTTATAAACCAAAATTTGTTTGGACAAAGTTGTACTAGTTGAAGGTGAATTGAAACTGAATTCAGATGACTACCATTGGTTTTATCATATATACCGGATATTAGCAACGCGTACATTTCCAAGGAATAAATCAGTGACAGAAGTTTCCATAAGCACCCTTTGTTTAACGTCACTGCCGCAGCATAGAACCCTGAATCTGAATGACATTTTGGTTTAGTCCACTAACTCCTTTCACTAGCTCCCAAATTTCATGGTGAATTTAACTGGCTAGTAGTGCAAGTGCATACGTCTGAGCTCATCTCCAGTTTTGTGTAATGCATACTATTTTGCTTACTAAGAAGCTTTTCAGTGATAGATTGTGAATTTCGTCCACAGGGTATAGATGACGGATTTGTTGAGTACACTGTACCCCAGGAACCAAATCGGTTTCAATCAGCTCTGGAGAACATCCATAAATATTGCACCATATATTGATTGGCTGGAAGGCAATCATTATCATTTCGTTCCGACGAGAAATATCTATTCTGGTATGCCCTATTTGTGTTCGATAAGCTACCATAAGACATTTCATGAAAATTCGTTTCAGGTACCATGTTTCTACAAAAAATTAGAGTGTATAATTTATCAAACCCGTTGTTTGAAGTCTAAGACGCATTCAACACCAAATTCCCGCAATTGATTCTAGTGTGTCAAATTGTTCTTCCGTCAAACTGAACACGTTTTTATGGGAACAAAGTATTTGCACATAATCTCGATTGAACAATGAAAGGCAAACATACCTCATGATATTGATGGTCATTTATTGTTTCATAGTGTGTTGGGCTCCAGGTGTCATTTGTTTCATAGTTGAAGCTTTTCGAGGTGTTCCGATGACCAGTTTGGCAAAAGGGATTTCGTTGTGGATTGGTTTTGCAAACAACGCCTGTAATCTCACTATTTACGGTTTGTTGGACAAATGGTACAGAAAATTTTCCAGTCGTATAATCTCATGCCGGCTCGGTGGCGCAATATGAACTTTAATTCTCACAGATGTTTTCTTGAATTTCTCCAACACCATCTTTCATCTCACGAACAACCGACGATTTTCATCAGTTTCATCATAAATTTAATGTTCTACCAAAGTGTATTCGTTTGACTTGAGAACACGAATTGCTTATATTCATTCTGTTTCATTTCTTTTCGTTTCGTTTCGAATTGTCTTATTACGTTGCAAAATTGGTCCTCCTGTTAAAATCAAGTTGATCGACCGCTGCATTATTTACAACTACGAACTGACTGTGTTGTGAGCAATGTTGATCTGATGCTGCTAACTTCTTGATGACAAATGGTAGCTTGTATCTAATGTGTGATCGATTGTGAACCCCTAATACATAATGGGCCCTCTACATTCCCTCAAACACAAACCATATACTTGACTCATTTATTTGAGACAAGTATATACTCTACGTTTTAGTACTGGTTCGACCGGATTCTGTTTTCAGATAAGAGGATAGCACTTCGGAGATGAGGTTTTTGCAATCTGCAGCATGACAGCAGCCTAATAGATCAATTTATTTTGCATTATCAGGTAATTCAAAAAGCCTATCCAACCAGTCATGATAGCTACCTACATTCGAGCCTGAAAGCCCAACAGTGTGAAAAGCTGTATCCTGTCGTTTTAAACGATATTTTCTCATATTGGGAGTTACATTTGAGTTTCACGTGTGCTTTTCGCAAAGCCATATACCATGCTTGTGTGAAATCGGGACAAAATAGCAAGGTCTGTACCAGAGGTGAGGGTCATTTTGTTCCACATCGGAATAGCACTAGGAGTATGTAACGCACTGGAAGCTCTAACCCAAAACGAGAAACAGGACACACAATAACGGAGTCGAATTCAAAATGTACTCACCCATCTTTGAATATCTGAGAAGTGTAGAATGCAGTTGAACAGGAAATTTCACAATTCAATTGCCATTATTCCTTTCTCTCAAACACAAACTGATTCTAGAATATCCAGAGGTGGGTGTTCAGAAACTTTGCATTTTCTAAGTCGTATCCAGTAGTTTATTTAGAAACAGTTGAACTTTTCTTTTGGGGGTATGGCTTCTGTTTATCGTAGGTATACTGTATGTATTGAATCGACTATTTGTGATAAGGTTTTGTCTGGATTCTTCCCCACACTCCCGTTTACAAGTCTTCGAGCGAAATATTTATGAAATACCTTAGGTCGAATGAACAACGAAGGCTTGAGTCGGTAGTCAGATGTGAGAACGTATGCCGTATATCGTGAGATCATAATAGCATCAATACGAAAGCAGTGGCGTAACGAAGGTGAACCACGAGCCTATGCTAACAGAAAAACCGTAATTGTGTCCCGAGTGAATTCGACGGGAACTTCGTCAATACAAATTCGTTAAAACTCAGGACCCCTAAGAAAAATATGATAGACAGTTCTATTTCCTTTCGGAATGAGCAGTTGTGAGATAAATACGAATGCCACATTATCCGAATGGTATAGTTTGTTGACTCCGGTGAGTTTCGAACTCACGCATGGTGCCGCCCATGCTTTATTACCGCGTGTGTTCTACCAGCTGAAATAAAGGAATGCGCCAAAATGCCTCGGACGTTTCACATATAGACCATACAGTTTACCTGCCTCAATTACCGTAGAGAATGGAATCCTCCACATAAAACTAACTTGTAATTTGACTTCCCAACTTAGGATTCTGCTATGAATTAACAATAGTCCATCAGCTGAAAGCGTGTTTTTTATGAAGTGGGGCTTGGCTGATTTGAAATGATCCAATTGTAACATGTTGAGGGATATGTAGGTGAAAACATATCAAACGAGATTAACCTTAATCCATCCCATCTTGTGCACTGCTGAAACAGTTTCCATTCAAGAATGCACAACGGATTATTTGCCCTGAACTGATTAATTGGAGCTTCAAGTACCACGCTAGACCATTATAGTGACACAATGTTAACATGGCATGCCATTCTGAAAACATGAAATGTTAGGTGAAACAATTTAGATGGAATATGTTTTGTGAAGCTCATCAATTTTACAATCCAAATGATTGCGTATGAGACATGGTGGCTGGAACCAAATCGGGAATGGGACACACATGGATTCCCGGTTGGACAAGAGAAGTTGCTTGCGTGAATGACTACTGAGTTCAAAAAACTGCGCAGCTCGTTGATTGTTAGGATAAAAACATGAAATCAGGCAGAACTCATCCCTTTGTATTTACTGATATTTTCGCTCAATGCCGATATTATTGGGAGACAATCTGCATGACATTGCAAAGCTGGGAATCTGAGTAATACCAAGGGCACTAATTCCGCTTAGAAGACCTATCAAGGGATCTTGTGAGATGGCATAGTACATTCATTCCATTACTTTTCACCGTTCACAGTTACGCAGTTTTCGGGATTAACTTATGGAAATTGCTTCGACTAAGAGTATCTTGTGCTAACGCGTTGGTGCATCCCCATTTTTCGTCTGAAAAAGTAGGCTTGTACTTGCGTAGTGTGAGTGAGATCGTGACCGTATGCCATGGTTGATCGTAAACTGCACCATTTAACGCAGTTGGTTCTATCCGTCTACACCACAGCACAAAACCAGATTATTTTAAATCCATATGATGTATTTGTGAAATCGGATGAATTCCACGTAACTTCAAATGACACCGCCAATCACAAGGCTCTTCAAACACAGGGAATCAATTGGCTTGAAATCGGTTACTCGTAACCTACCCACGAAATCTCCCTGTTGCTTTATGAAACGGAGTTTCTTTAACAACGGCAGATGCAAACGAAAGAGCCTGTGAGGTTTATAGGGGCCATGATAATTGTTCATTGCGACCATTGCATGATTGCAACACGCACTGAGAGTACGAAAGTTGAAATATGGTCAGTTTTATAGTTAACGCTCGAAGCGACACTGCTCACAGACAGTGAAGTGTCAGGTAAAGTGCATGAGACTATGTGGTCCACTGTCATCGGTATCGGAGTTCAGTTCATGTGTGACCTAATGGACTGGCGGTCACAAGGGCCTCAGAGCAGACAGGTCTTGATTGAAGAATGAGTGACCGAGTGAGTGCGTCTGTGTGTGCGTGCACGCGTGCACACAAACTAGGATTAGTAGCGAACTAGCCAGCGAATATATGCCACAAGAAGCTTTAAAAAGCATTCGTGGTCACTAACAACGAAACATCTGAGCACTGGTCAACTGTTGTTATTTGTTGCGATCATTTGTGATCCGGATTCCACGAGAAAACAAATTAAAGCCATTCAAGGAGCATCATCTTCAACGGGTATGCACAGAAAATGCAGACCAGCGTCCTCAGTATTGCACCTGGTATCTCAGTTGCTATATTGTACAGTGCACCTTGTTTAGCGATCATGCCATACTTGACGTACTTGGAATCCAAATCACCCGACTCTATTGGTCTCAAGAGAATTCCAGGCGGTTTGCCGTTGATGGAATGCCAACTGAATACCAGGTTGATGGCTTGGGGAGGAATCATTGGAGGAAACATTACCGGTTCATATCTTTCGATGGAAGCGCCACATGTACAACCAGATTTTAATTTTACTGGGTTGCAATAGAAACGTCGGGTTTTGGAATGCTTCCAAATTGTATAGCTCCTACTTTGAAGGCAATGACGCCTGTCGCACAGTCTCGTTTCAACAAGATGCAGCATCCGCTCTTTAGGCCATATGTGTTCGGTAGTACATCAGCAACCTTCTTGAGGGACTTGAGATAGGAAGTAGTGGACTAACTGAATGGACCCTTGGTCTCTGGACAGAAAGTATCCTAGTATGATTCTGAGGTTCGTTTGGATACTTTTGGCTCCATAGATAGTAATAAATCTATTAGCTCTGTCCGTGTTGTGCTATTAATTTCAAAGAAAAAATTGGATTTGAATCACATTAACCCGTATGAACGTCAGTTAAGGCTAACTAGATAACAGGTTGATTATCCCACATGACAGAAATACCATAACGATGGCAACCAATCAGGCACCTTGCAGACGGCAGATTGTTCCATTCCAAATATAGTGATGAACGAGGAAAGAAAATTCGCCCTTTCGTCTCACCAAACATTGACCCCTTAAAAGTGGAATTGAAGCCATTTACCGAGCACTTAAAAAAATATTGTTCATTCCCCAATCAGTACGAAAATTTCATTCAGTGCAGAGTCGTTGAATATGGGCACATGCTTTTTGTATTTAGCGCGGTAATGCCATGGGAAAGCCACATTCGCAACAGAGAGTTGATCAATGCTTGATCCAGCAACGGGTCTACAGAAAGGCGACATGAAATGGGCAACGTACAAACTGTCACTGTCAATATAATCAACATGATCATCAACGAAACAAACATCATCATCATCAACATCATCATCATCATCATCACCATCATCATCGTCGTCATCATCATCATCATCATCGTCAACAGGATCAACATCAACATTAGAAACATAATCATGACCATAATCATGATTATCAAAATCATGAGCATGATGATGATCATCATCTTTGACATCATCATTACCTTCATCAATATTCTCATCATCATCATCGTCATCATCAACAACATCAAAAGCTTCATTATCATCATCATCAACATCATCTACACCATCAGGTTCATTATATACATCACAATCATCAACATCATCATCAGCATCATCATCATCAAGTTCATCAGCATCGTCGTCATCATCATGGTCATATATATCATCATCAACATCAAAATCATCATCATCATCATCACCATCATCATCATCATCATCATCATCATCATCATCATCATCGTCATCATCATCATCATCATCATCATCATCATCATCATCAACATCATCATCATCATCATCATCATCATCATCATCATCATCATCATCATCATCATCATCATCATCATCATCATCATCATCATCATCATCATCATCATCATCATCATCATCATCATCATCATCATAATCATCATCATCATCATCATCATCATCATCGTAATCAACCGCTAAATCTTCTTCAACCACTCAACCATGTTCTACGTCCTTTTTTCTCGCATTTTTTCCTGTTTGCTTACTTCCGCTGCTTGTTTCTCATCTTGATTTCACATTTTCTATTCACTCTCTTCTAATTTTCTTCGATATTTCTTCGTTTTCCCATGAACGCTTACAAATTCATTTCATTCTTTTTGTGTACAGCGGGATATTCTAATGCCTTATGCCAGGCTTGTTTTGAACTATACTCAGGATTGTCGTTGTTTGATGATAGTGAAAGATATAATGATGACCGTATGCATTTGTTAACATAATACCCTTCGAATGTAAATGAGAAGTGAAATGCCGGGGATGACCAACGAATCAGATCCCAATGTACATTGGTCCAGCACACTCACAATCGCCATGCATGAGTATACTGACTGCTGTTCCATTCCGTACAGTTGAATATACTCGTATTTGTTGTCCACATAGCCTCCAAAACAATTATAGTTGTCAAACGGTAACATATGATCAGTCAACTGTTCTTTCGAGAATGATATTCGATGTCTGAGAATTTTTATAATCTGATCCTGAACTGTCCACGTTGTTTAGGCAGCCTAACAGTAACCACTACCCCTCTATTTGAATAAGATCATCACTGGGCTTGGTGAGCTACAAAAATATCTCCTCATCTGATCTTTCACATAAATCACAGCCTATGCAAGCCCAACCAATACTGTCCAGTTTGGTGTCATCTGTTGTCCCATACGGAATGAGTAACTGAGTGTGAGTGTAGATTGGACGCGGATGACATTTCTCATAGGTTTATGGCATTGAGTTTCTCTAACTGCATATCAGTGAAACGGTTCAATTCAAATGTGTAGGTGACGAGGCCGAGATTGTGACGTCGGTTATGTTCTTGAATACGTTTTTCATTCTCTTCCCAACTATTTCGTCTGTGCTCATCGTCAGCTCCGGTGTTTTCTTCATACTATATTCGCTTCCCACGATGCCACAAATCGTCATTCGAAGCAAACACTCCGACAGTGAGGACGGTTGGGATTGCCAATTATACCATTCATTCAGTGTCGATGATCATGTGGTTCAATCGGTAGTCGTCTAAACATTACAAATCATTCACATTCTCACGTGCATAATCGAAATTCATATGTGGATAAACTTGAGTGTGCCTGTGGAATGAGTAGCAATTACGGAACACACTCAATAAATTCATCTGTCACGTTGTAAGAAACGTACGCATCTTAATTCTATCCAAACGGAGACAAATGTGTAGACTATCGTTGACAAGGAGTAAAAAAGTGGCAATACGATTGGTCACGGTTGTATCAATCGTGATTGAACTTTCCATGTACAATGTGATGATATTGTGGTGATTTAGCCGCCGTCACACACGAAGCGGCCAAGTACAGCTTCGTGGCTGCGCATGTGGACGAGCCTCAACCAATCGGTTTTTCCGTGAACAGGTATGACAAAAGCTCCCCATCTTTGGTCAACTTCCAATCTACCAATTATTTTCTTCGATCTAAAATATTTATACAAACGGGTTCCGTAATACAATCAGCATGCTATTCCTAAGCCTTGGGGTTCTTACTACTTTTGTTTACGCAGTTCCGGGTGAGAGCGATTTTGGTGCTCCACATAAGTTCGGCTATTGCGATTACTACAAATATAATCCCTTATTCCATTGCGCTATTGGCATCAAAAAGAGACTAGCATGCATCGGAGCATTATTTGAATGATGAACATCACATTTTATATTGTCGAAATTCTTGCGATTAGCTAAATGGACAAGAAACGTAACCCCAAGCCCATGGGTGATCGCGAATGGAACAGATGGTGGTATTTGATGAAACCTTCTGAACGTCGATAAGGGCTCTCCATGATCAGCACCATTATCTTAACATCTTGTGGAGCGTAGTCAAACACATATGATGCAGTCTTTTAGAGGTCGCATCCGCCAAGTAAGGGCTTAAGTGACAGTTCTCAAAAATAGTTTGATTTCCAAGTGTGGGCGTTTTGCGTTGTGTCGCACGCATTGAATATAGATTTCCATCTTGCGGTCCGATTAGAGGGCCCTCAATCAAATGGACATAGAAGACAACCACAATCGGAACTTCAGAGTATATTACGAGATCAAATGCGGCTGACATTTTAGTAAAGCCGAATAGATCAGATGAGTCATAGATAGTTTGTCAGTTTGTCGGGTTGGTGGATCCATTGCTGAGGAAATCCACAAAGGAAATCACTTGATGATCCCACTAGAAGTAGGCAATGTTTCGGGTGCGTTGATTGTCGAACACAGAAAGATGCTGAGTGTCCTCAACACGAAGTGGCCACGTCTCGTAAACGTAGAGTTAGGCACCAAGAACCATGGTGACGTACACTCGTCCATTACGAGAGAGCCGGAATTCGCGGCGACACCACCAGTATCACAGGTTTTCCAAAGCTGCTGTAGTTCCAGCTATTTGTGATTCGATCTTCTCCCCAAGACGATTTTCGTTTATTTTCTAGCCGCCGAGATTTTCAAGTTTGTCAGCTAACTCTGCTTGATCACCCTTAAGAATGAGTGCAAATACGAGCAACTACCAATCTTGTAAAAGTATTTTGCACTTGGTAGACACAAAACGCATACAACAACTGGATAACTCAATCCCCAATCGGTTCATAGCGCGTTCAACTGCCTGTATACAGTCACTCATCAAGGAGATATCATATAAATATTCGAAGTGTATAACTTTATTCCGTGGGAGGAACTCAACTCCACCAGTTTGGAGATCAGACAAAGCACTCTGTAGAACATCTCGTATGTGAACGTTGAAGAGAAATGGAGGAGACATTGCAATCTTGTTGTACCTGTTCGTGACTGGGATATCCCATTTATCTTTGACGACCTTCCCAAGTCCTGTACTTTTCTAAAACGGAAGTTAATGGAAGTTATTTGACTGACATTCTAGGATAAACTAAAATGTTGGTTCGCCAAAAATGGAAATAACAGAATATCTCAACGCATTCTTGGTGTGTTCAAAAGTATTCTTACCATGTCCTTTGGGTGTTTCAAAGGGACTATATTGGAACCTTTGTGACTATTATTTCGACTGGGTAGACACTTCCCTTCACATGCTTGGACGTTCTACATACATACATGTTTATGCCCAAAGAAACAGATTGGAAGAGATATTGAGGCGGAAGATTTCTCTTAGTGTGTAGAAATGCACCAATCTGGGAAACTTCATACTGTAGTAGCATCAGTATTCGTGTCTCAGATGGCAATTGATAGGTGAGTGATAATAACTGAATGGTACCAAGTAATCCTCTGAACTTTCGGTCTTGCAGTTACGGATATTGCTGACGTTGAGGCTGTTGCAGCGGCACCGCAAGAGTTGTGGATGAGAGAAGAACTGAGGTTGGATTATTACTCCAATGGTTGTCCTTTGTTTTGCCTCATTGAGGCTAGTAAGTTGACTGCTTTGCCTTTCAATCATCTCATTTCATTGGTACCAATAGACGGTTATTATCAGAAGCGTGGTAATCATGGCCAAACATTTACATAAACACTTATCGATTCTTTTGTTATTCAAGAACGGCTTTTCTGACTGTTCAGTTTGCTTGCAGTCCTTTTGGGCAATTCGGCTCCAGTCGGTTAATACAATTCTATGCAATTGACTGAATAATCGTCCCACTCCCCTGGTTCCAATTTTGTTCTCAGATTTGGGGCTTATGATGACGTGCTATGTGCTTGTCAAGGTATCGATCTGCTTCGCTTTGTTCAATCTTGCCCCTGAATGTGGACTGTTAAAGATATAACATCTACTAAATGAACCAGGCCGTATAAATGTGATAAACCTGTCGACAACATCACAATCTGTGTTTTCTGGTCTGCAACATATTGTCTCAGAAATGGATGAACGAACATCGAATTGGTCCACGGAGTAAGCACGAAACTAATATTCGGAAAAACGCTAGTGGTAGAAAAAATAGGATTATGATGAAGATCGAGATGATGAAGATCGGGATGATGATGATGATGATGATTCGGATGATGATGATGATGATGATGTTGAGGATGATGATGATGATGATGATGATGATGATGATGATGATGATGATGATGATGATGATGATGATGATGATGATCATTCGGATGATGATGATGATGATGATGATGATGATGATGATGATGATGATGATGATGATGATGATGATGATGATGTTGATGATGATGATGATGATGATGATGATGATGATGATGATGACGATGATGATGATGATGATGATGATGTTGATGATGATGATGATGACGATGATGATGATGAAGACGATGTTGATGATGATGATGATGATGATGAAGATGATTGAGCTGCTTCAATTCAGTTTGTATATTCTCTTATGTCAACAAGTGATGCTCTTCATGCGGTCGTGTGCATTCGTTTAACTTAAATTGGTATTTGTTGATGACATTCAGCAGTAGTTTTAGCTTGGGTTACGAAAATAATCCCATTAGTTTATATTTCTCATATTTCCGAGATGATCCGTGATAAGACTTGAGTGCGAAGGTCAGTGCGGATTTTGTGCCATACTGTTACGATTTTTAACGCTGCCCGGAAAGTCTACGTGTTGTGCTTTCAACAACTCAACTGGATACTGACAGTTCCAAATCACCATCTCGTCATTTTGTAGGCCATCGTGCTGATCCATTCTGAAGCAATTTGCTTTAACGCCATATCGCATACGGTACATTCGTCACTGGTAAGCGAGGTTTCCTGTGGTCTGGTTGGCCCAATAAGAAACTACTAAAATACCAGTAAACGTGTCACTTTCCTTTCAAATTACAAGAAAAATACATGTGTTGTGGTCAAGTTACTTCAGTTGTAGTGTTATCCTCTGCAACGGTAATTTCCTTATGCCTTTACCACAACAGATATGCAATGTTTGGGCCGAGACATAGAGGTTCGTTTCTTTGTTATGGGGTGACGGATAGGAGTAGCACGTGTGCGTTGGTAACTTGTTGTGGTCTTGGGTATCTCCCATATCTTGGGTCCCGATCGGGTATCCAGATCTGATCTATGGCTCCACGAAGCTGTCACACGCATTCGTGGTCACACGCCGGAGAACAGCTAGACAAGGGGGCTAACCGAATTCGGAGATAACCGAGGTCAACATCCTCATTGGTACATACTGAGAGAAGTAGGCCTATGATTTTATAATTAACTGCGTCTTCCCGTCTCATAAGCTGTAGATTTGCATGGATGGTGGTACCGAGATATGAAACAGTACCTATTCTTGTCACTGGTCTGTACGAATTATACATGGGTTGAATGCGTTAGCTAACTGAGAGAGAGAGTAAATTTGTATTCAGAGCATTTCGGTAATCTGAGGGTTAAATACACCCGAAAAGGAAATTCACAAATAAGACAGATTACTAGAAACACTACAGAGATTTTGGGTTTCCAAAATACCGTATCTGAATGAGTGTGCTAGACAATTGGCGTACAGGTAGCTCGTATGAGATAGAGTACGGCTTCCAGAATCACTTTCGAAAAACTACGGCATTTTGTCCAATCCCACTTGATGAATTTTGAAATTAACCCCCTACACCCCCAACCACAAGACAGTGCTTGCCGTTTCAAGAAAATACACCTATCATCCAATTACTATTCAACATTTTCCATCATTATTCAGCTCTTAATGACTGGGACGACTCAAGTACCCGGGAAATTACGAGGTCAAAATGACCAGTAAAATCAATGTCATCTGGAATACAATGATTCCACCTAAATTGAAACATGCAAATGTGGTGCGATCTAACTCTGAAGAGATCAGATCCTATCAAACTAATGCCAGACAAACTTAACCAGATCGATGAAGCTATTGCGAAATGTTTGTTGTGTAATTTATACACCTGCAAATTCATAAAATCAAACAATCACTTAGCAAGAAATCCGCCAGTTTTGGAAACAACAATTTTCTACTTGATCCCGTGTGTATTTATACGAATAGTGATAACCATTCATTTCAAAATCCATGCTCCAGTAGTGGACGAGGATCGGGAAAATATCGATCTCGTTCGGTTGAATATACACACATCTATTGATATTTCCCAATCACGGTAATAGGAGAGAAAATGAAGCAAAGCTGAATGAAATTTATTGTTTAGTGCATTTTCATAATAACAGAAACGTATCACGGAAATCGTGCCACCATCGGGAGACTGGCCAGCGAAGCAATTCCACACATGTTACCTCGGTTCCTAACCATTCGAATGTAACCGCGCTCACCCCACGACAATCCCCAACTATTTTTCACAATCCAATAGTCAGTACCACCCTGTGTTCCATAACCGACAGCCAAGACTGCATGATTCACACTAAGCGGTGAACAAGTTTGGCTCTGATAAATACCACTCCTGTTTGAACAGAAAACAACAATATACATGTGAATATGACAACGCCAGTTTGGAAATGAAATAGTGCTTAGAATGATTGAAAATAGAAAGGGACGGAAGAGAGCGAACACGTATGCTATGCGAATCGGAAACAAAAAGCCTGTTCAACTGAGAACTACTTACCGTGATGTGCGTGAAATTAGACGTATTCGAAATGGGCAATTCAAATCATATTTCTCCCAAACCGACTTGTGACCGGGATGTGGGTGAGCATAAATCCCAAGTACTACATGTGTTATTTGACAATATACCACACGCATGATCAGCAGTTACACTTACAATTACATCTGTGCTAGTGTAACACTGAAGATGGATTGCCTGTGCGAATTGTGAAACGAATGTCATCTACTGAGCCCATTTGTTACCCGTGAAGCGCACGTTCAAACTGTTTGATCAAAGCTAAATGAAACCAAATTTGATGATTATCGTACTCCATAAGGAGAGAACACAAGTGTCATCCGGTCTGAACAATCCAGTGAGCAACTGTATGGAATCTAGCAATCCGGTTGTCATACATACGAGTAGGTTAGTACATCTTACATGTATCGATGACGAGGAAAGTCGAACGGTAAACTGATAATTGAAAATCTCTAACCTAACTGTCTCACATATTCTCTCCCTCTCTCATTCTCTTTCTCTATTTCTCTCCCTCCCTCTCTCTCTACTTAGTTTATCATCCGTCTCATCCGAATGACATAAAAGCACGTACCTGTACATCATGAAGTCAGATTCCACATCCACAGCGACCGCGGCAGGTCCTTCGGAACCGACTAGATTTTTCAATTCTACCTCACTGCCAGAATGCACAGTATAGTAGCCAGTCACTTTGGCAACTCCTAACTGCTCATTGTATCGACACTGACCTTCCTGAAATGGGATTAAATATTGAGTGAATTGAGTAAAGTAGTTGATAACAAGAGAAGGAATATTTTTTGAGATCAAATTGGTGCAACATGGTGGGAGGTAAAATGTGGGGAGGTGTAAGCAAAATGACTCGGAGGAAGAGCACACAGAAAAGCAGTACTCACCACAGCCGTGTACGGATAAGAGGATTCGGTTTCCAATCCAAATTGTTTCAAATATTGGTAAGCATTTTCCATCAATCCACCACCGCAACCATTATTTCCCCAAGGACGGCTACAATCGACCAGTTGTTGCTCAGAGAATGAAATACTAGTTCTCTCGTTTTTCATATACTGTCCCTCCATAGTACCGGTTGTTGAGAATGCCCAACAGGAACCACAGTTTCCCTTTTCAAATCAAATCATCATCGGATTATTGGGTGTTCACAATCTATACTTACCTGATCTTTCACCTCCGTCACATAACCAGATTCACGCCAGTCAATTTTGTCGGGTACGGCACGATTGTTCGCCTCATACGGGACACCGTGTGAGAGTATATCGGACGCGCGTGACATTTCTGTTAGATATTTGGCCTTGAATTCCTCGAATGTCATATCCGTGAATTGGTTCAATCCCAATGTGTAGGTGACGAGGCCGAGATCGTGACGTAGGTTATGTTCTTGAATATGTTTCACATTCTTTTCCCAAATATTTCGTCTGTGCTGATCGTCAGCCCCATTGTATTCTTTGTTGTACATTCGCTTCCACTGATGCCACAAATCATCATTCGAGCCAAGCACTCCGACTGTGAGGACGGCTAATATGAACAATCGCATTTTTCGATTATTATCGGACGTTCTGTCTAATCAAACTCAGATGCTCCCATATATATACATATGTATATTTATATATATTTTGTATACATACATATATGCATACATAAACGTCCACAGTTAAAATGTACAAATTCCAAACGAGGACCTCAGCATTTTTGGGCGTTCCTTTGAGAGTTGTATGATTAGAAACGGTGACACAATGATTGTGACACTTATTGGTGTTCAAAGTTCAACAAACGCAACAAGTTAGTCTATTCTTTGATGTATAGATTCTACATGAACGTGTTTGCGCAGATCCACTGATATCATGAATAAGGTAAAAAAAGTGCTCGATCGAAGTTCAACATCTAAGAATTCCACGCCCATCTGACAATGTTTTGGGGAAAGCATTTCCATTCAAACAGGACACGTTGAGTCCAATTTTCATACTGCGCTCGTAGTCATACAGTCAATTCAAGCTACTGAAATCTTTACACCAACGATGAGGAACACGTTTGCCATTAGTTGATCACGTAAACAACTCGTTGAGGAGCTTGCTGTGATTATTTTCAAATCGATATTTCTTACTTGTCTTGTAATCTCTTCGGATAAGTAACCCATTCGAATTCACGAAACGACCAAGAACACTCATCAGTTACATAGTCAAACATTATTCTGAATTTCCAATAAATACTTATTGATTTGATGTGACAAACAAGATTTTCTCTCTTTACGTGTTTGTGAATGCAGTGGAGGCTTTCATATAATACCTTTCCCTGACGAAAAATCGCAATCATTTATCGCGACGGAAAAGATATTTTGCATTCAGACGAGTGAACTCCTTATTCATTGTCACGTATTTGGTGTTCACAATCTATCTTAGTACTGACGTCTCGAGTTAACATCCCCGACTCTCCTCAAGGAGAGGTAGTGAGGTAGATACAAAGCACAATCAAGCAACAAGCCACGATTCTGCTACATATCGAATATAACCCGAATGATACACCAGGCGACAAACGTGTTCTACTCACATCTGATTCATACTCGTGGATGCACTTACATTTGCTCCAAGTCTTCAGAGAGAAGAGAAGATTAGGGTACTTATTCTGTAAGTTAATACTGAATCACAGTCGACAAATGTGTGTTCCGTTGGAAAACAATTCAGAGTAAAATTGCCATTAGAAACGTGGTAATCAGTCTTGATCAGGATTTCTGATCGCCGAACATTAGGTCTATTCAGATCTGAAAATTATTCAACGACTTGAACACATATTCTGGACATGCTTCTCATCAGAGGCTAAATCATATTTTGTCAGATAATATTCCATTCTCTTCGAATGCATACACGAGTTTGGTTGTTCAAACTACGTTCAACATTTTCATATATTCGACGAGATATTATTCGTCAATTGTTATCAACATGATTGAGACGAGGCCTGCCATCTGACTACACCAGGCCACTGATGCAACGGAACAGTGACCACTTTTTGGCTGCATTTGAGTTCTGAATGGCTGTGTTATCGTGCTGGAATATAGAATTCGGATTCACGGACCGATTTCTGCAGATAAGTGCTCCACAATTCTGAGAATGGAATTCCTCGAACCGCAAGGTGGAAGGGGTAGGTGAAACGCAGATGAAATTGGTTACATGAGAATCAAGGACTCAGCTGCAGTGGTTTGCGTTCAGGAGTCATCTTGTTGGCCAGCTTCGGTTGGTGTGTTTGACTTGAAGTGGCTGGTTTACGAGGACGAACGTGTTGGTAGTGCACTACGGAATGTTCAGTAGTCGCGTTGGATGAGTCGTCGAGTTGCTCACACTTTGACCGGATGCTAGAGAACGTGAGGTCTGGCTCAAGCAACCACTTCTCTCTCAGCTCCGGCAACGAGGTGGTCACGCAATCAAATCTCCAACTAATCTATGAAATTACACTTCGAGGTTTGTGTCTGTAGTGTCAGGATGATCTCTAGGAATTTGTTGATGGAAACATAAACCCGCAGGTGGAACTTGGTACGTTCGGTCGCCTAGAAATTGATTGAAACCTCGTGGCCTAGCTGCAGAGCTTTCAACTCATCCAATGACTGTCTGACCGTTCTTCAATTCAAAATAGTGGACTTGTGTATCCAAAACAATTTCATCAGTTTTATGGGGCCCATGTAGAGTTGACATTTGTCCACGTGCATACCTGAATCAGAAGAAGCTCCAGCTCATTGGGAAGTCCACTCTTGGCAATCAGTAGTGCTCGTTGATATCTTTAACCACGAAGCATTGTTCACTAGTATCATCTCTAGTGGAGTATAACAACGTTTCCCCGTATCCCAATTTCTCTTCAACGTTCACGTACGGGATGTTCTACAGAGTGCTTTCTCTGATCTCCCAGCTGGTGGAGTTGAGCTTCTCTCACGGAATAAAGTTTTACACTTTGAATATGCCCTAGATATGGCCTTGACGAGTGACAATACCCGGGTGTTGTCACATGTCGCTGTCTGGCCAGACAATAAGACACGATCATTCGTGAACCGATAATGGACATTCCAAACGAACTAGGTTGAATAAAGTCTCGCACATTCAGAATATTAAAGTGAATACACCAGATTAAACCGCGAACAGCAAACAGATTAGCAGTAAAAGCAGTGCTACGAGATGAGTCACGAATCCATCATGCAAAATATAAACGGCAGTATAGCTCGCGTGAAATGAATTCAAATTGTAGTGTTGGCTGCATGATTCGAACATTGATTAAAATCACCTTGCAGTTCGACGAATTCCATTCTCAGAATTGTGGAGCACTTATCTGCAGAAATCGGTCCGTGAATCCAAATTCTATATTCCAGCACGATAACACAGCCATTCAGAACTCAAACGTAGCCAAAAAGTGGTCACTGTTCCGTTGCATCAGTGACCCGGTGTAGTCAGCTGGCAGGCCTCATCTCAATCAGGTTGATAACAATTGACGACTTATAACGCGTCGAATATATGAAAATGTTAAACATAGTTTGAACAACCAAAGTCGTATATGCATTAAAAGGTATGATATGAAAGCCTCCACTGCATTCACAAACACGTAAAGAGAGAAAATCTTGTTTGTCACATCAAATCAATAAGTATTTATTGGAAATTCAGAATAATGTTTGACTATGTAACTGATGAGTGTTCTTGGTCGTTTCGTGAATTCGAATGGGTTACTTATCCGAAGAGATTACAAGACAAGTAAGAAATATCGATTTGAAAATAATCACAGCAAGCTCCTCAACGAGTTGTTTACGTGATCAACTAATGGCAAACGTGTTCCTCATCGTTGGTGTAAAGATTTCAGTAGCTTGAATTGACTGTATGACTACGAGCGCAGTATGAAAATTGGACTCAACGTGTCCTGTTTGAATGGAAATGCTTTCCCCAAAACATTGTCAGATGGGCGTGGAATTCTTAGATGTTGAACTTCGATCGAGCACTTTTTTTTACCTTATTCATGATATCAGTGGATCTGCGCAAACACGTTCATGTAGAATCTATACATCAAAGAATAGACTAACTTGTTGCGTTTGTTGAACTTTGAACATCAAACAGTTTGACAATCATTGTGTCACCGTTTCTAATCATACAACTCTCAAAGGAACACCCAAAAAAGCTCGGGTCTTCGTTTGGAATTTGTACATCTTAACTGTGGACGTTTATGTATGCATATATGTATGTATACAAAATATATATAAATATACATATGTATATATATGGGAGCATCTGAGTTTGATTAGACAGAACGTCCGATAATAATCGAAAAATGCGATTGTTCATATTAGCCGTCCTCACAGTCGGAGTGCTTGGCTCGAATGATGATTTGTGGCATCAGTGGAAGCGAATGTACAACAAAGAATACAATGGGGCTGACGATCAGCACAGACGAAATATTTGGGAAAAGAATGTGAAACATATTCAAGAACATAACCTACGTCACGATCTCGGCCTCGTCACCTACACATTGGGATTGAACCAATTCACGGATATGACATTCGAGGAATTCAAGGCCAAATATCTAACAGAAATGTCACGCGCGTCCGATATACTCTCACACGGTGTCCCGTATGAGGCGAACAATCGTGCCGTACCCGACAAAATTGACTGGCGTGAATCTGGTTATGTGACGGAGGTGAAAGATCAGGTAAGTATAGATTGTGAACACCCAATAATCCGATGATGATTTGATTTGAAAAGGGAAACTGTGGTTCCTGTTGGGCATTCTCAACAACCGGTACTATGGAGGGACAGTATATGAAAAACGAGAGAACTAGTATTTCATTCTCTGAGCAACAACTGGTCGATTGTAGCCGTCCTTGGGGAAATAATGGTTGCGGTGGTGGGTTGATGGAAAATGCTTACCAATATTTGAAACAATTTGGATTGGAAACCGAATCCTCTTATCCGTACACGGCTGTGGTGAGTACTGCTTTTCTGTGTGCTCTTCCTCCGAGTCATTTTGCTTACACCTCCCCACATTTTACCTCCCACCATGTTGCACCAATTTGATCTCAAAAAATATTCCTTCTCTTGTTATCAACTACTTTACTCAATTCACTCAATATTTAATCCCATTTCAGGAAGGTCAGTGTCGATACAATGAGCAGTTAGGAGTTGCCAAAGTGACTGGCTACTATACTGTGCATTCTGGCAGTGAGGTAGAATTGAAAAATCTAGTCGGTTCCGAAGGACCTGCCGCGGTCGCTGTGGATGTGGAATCTGACTTCATGATGTACAGGTACGTGCTTTTATGTCATTCGGATGAGACGGATGATAAACTAAGTAGAGAGAGAGGGAGGGAGAGAAATAGAGAAAGAGAATGAGAGAGGGAGAGAATATGTGAGACAGTTAGGTTAGAGATTTTCAATTATCAGTTTACCGTTCGACTTTCCTCGTCATCGATACATGTGTGATGTACTAGCTTACTCGTATGTATGACAACCGGATTGCTAGATTCCATACAGTTGCTCACTGGATTGTTCAGACCGAATGACACTTGTGTTCTCTCCCTATGGAGTACGATATTCATCAAATTTGGTTTCATTTAGCTTTGATCAAACAGTTTGAACGTGCGCTTCACGGGTAACAAATGGGCTCAGTAGATGACATTCGTTTCACAATTCGCACAGGCAATCCATCTTCAGTGTTATACTAGCACAGATGTAATTGTAAGTGTAACTGCTGATCATGCGTGTGGTATATTGTCAAATAACACATGTAGTACTTGGGATTTATGCTCACCCACATCCCGGTCACAAGTCGGTTTGGGAGAAATATGATTTGAATTGCCCATTTCGAATACGTCTAATTTCACGCACATCACGGTAAGTAGTTCTCAGTTGAACAGGCTTTTTGTTTCCGATTCGCATAGCATACGTGTTCGCTCTCTTCCGTCCCTTTCTATTTTCAATCATTCTAAGCACTATTTCATTTCCAAACTGGCGTTGTCATATTCACATGTATATTGTTGTTTTCTGTTCAAACAGGAGTGGTATTTATCAGAGCCAAACTTGTTCACCGCTTAGTGTGAATCATGCAGTCTTGGCTGTCGGTTATGGAACACAGGGTGGTACTGACTATTGGATTGTGAAAAATAGTTGGGGATTGTCGTGGGGTGAGCGCGGTTACATTCGAATGGTTAGGAACCGAGGTAACATGTGTGGAATTGCTTCGCTGGCCAGTCTCCCGATGGTGGCACGATTTCCGTGATACGTTTCTGTTATTATGAAAATGCACTAAACAATAAATTTCATTCAGCTTTGCTTCATTTTCTCTCCTATTACCGTGATTGGGAAATATCAATAGATGTGTGTATATTCAACCGAACGAGATCGATATTTTCCCGATCCTCGTCCACTACTGGAGCATGGATTTTGAAATGAATGGTTATCACTATTCGTATAAATACACACGGGATCAAGTAGAAAATTGTTGTTTCCAAAACTGGCGGATTTCTTGCTAAGTGATTGTTTGATTTTATGAATTTGCAGGTGTATAAATTACACAACAAACATTTCGCAATAGCTTCATCGATCTGGTTAAGTTTGTCTGGCATTAGTTTGATAGGATCTGATCTCTTCAGAGTTAGATCGCACCACATTTGCATGTTTCAATTTAGGTGGAATCATTGTATTCCAGATGACATTGATTTTACTGGTCATTTTGACCTCGTAATTTCCCGGGTACTTGAGTCGTCCCAGTCATTAAGAGCTGAATAATGATGGAAAATGTTGAATAGTAATTGGATGATAGGTGTATTTTCTTGAAACGGCAAGCACTGTCTTGTGGTTGGGGGTGTAGGGGGTTAATTTCAAAATTCATCAAGTGGGATTGGACAAAATGCCGTAGTTTTTCGAAAGTGATTCTGGAAGCCGTACTCTATCTCATACGAGCTACCTGTACGCCAATTGTCTAGCACACTCATTCAGATACGGTATTTTGGAAACCCAAAATCTCTGTAGTGTTTCTAGTAATCTGTCTTATTTGTGAATTTCCTTTTCGGGTGTATTTAACCCTCAGATTACCGAAATGCTCTGAATACAAATTTACTCTCTCTCTCAGTTAGCTAACGCATTCAACCCATGTATAATTCGTACAGACCAGTGACAAGAATAGGTACTGTTTCATATCTCGGTACCACCATCCATGCAAATCTACAGCTTATGAGACGGGAAGACGCAGTTAATTATAAAATCATAGGCCTACTTCTCTCAGTATGTACCAATGAGGATGTTGACCTCGGTTATCTCCGAATTCGGTTAGCCCCCTTGTCTAGCTGTTCTCCGGCGTGTGACCACGAATGCGTGTGACAGCTTCGTGGAGCCATAGATCAGATCTGGATACCCGATCGGGACCCAAGATATGGGAGATACCCAAGACCACAACAAGTTACCAACGCACACGTGCTACTCCTATCCGTCACCCCATAACAAAGAAACGAACCTCTATGTCTCGGCCCAAACATTGCATATCTGTTGTGGTAAAGGCATAAGGAAATTACCGTTGCAGAGGATGACACTACAACTGAAGTAACTTGACCACAACACATG